GTGAAAACCCTGCCTTCCCCCCCAGCCCCATTCCCCATCCAGCATCTGCATGGTCCTGTGGGCACCCAGCCTGCTACCAGGCTGCAGGCAGAGAGGGATAGGTGCTCCCCTTTTGGAGGGTGTGATGGGCCAATGGGAGCCCCATGTCTCCTGAGACCTCATGAGGTTTTTTTCCCGTCCAGGCTCAGCTGGAAGCCCAGAGGGCCACACAGGACTTCCAGAGGGCCACCGAGGTGCTCCGTGCCGCCAAGGAGACCATCTCCCTGGCTGAGCAGCGGCTGCTGGAGGACGACAAGCGGCAGTTCGACTCGGCCTGGCAAGAGATGCTGAATCACGCTACCCAGCGGGTACGGTCCCCGTGGGGCGGGTGGGGGCGCATGCGCTGTGTTTGCACGTGTCTGTGTGAGGTGGGCAGCTCATCAGGGGTGACCCCCAGGCTCCGGGCTGGGCCCCCTTGTCCACCCGATCCAGACTTCCCGCTGGTTTCCCCAAGCAGAGGAACAGACCCCCAGGTGTGTCGTATATCACAGGGGGTCAACTCCATGGGGTCTCTGCTGGCCTGGGGCTACGCCATCCTGTGATGCAATGACAGTCACCCAGTGACAGGCACAGCTGTTCCTCCCCTGTCGCTTGAGGTTCGTCTGATTCAGATCATCCCTGCCCGTCCTGACTGTGGCTTCCCAGAGGAACCAGGTCATTTTCTAGGGCCCCTCCCGCTGAGGCTGAGTCTGGGGGGCTGGCCGGGTTTAGAGTCCCAGGCAGGGGACTGCCCCCCGGGCCTGGCCTGGGGCGCGGGTGCTGTCGGTGGAAGTGGGGCCGTAGTGGAGGGGGCCAGAACCCGGGTGCACGGGCCAGCCTTCGGGCTGTGCTGGGATCTGGGGAGCCGTGTGTGCTCAGGAAGGGGGCGGTGAGCAGCTCTGAATCCTGGCTTTGGTGCTGTCATAATTTGGGCCTTGACTGGCCCCCGTGACCTGCCCCTTGGCCACATCGCTCGGAATCAGAAGTGGAGGGCACTGCGCTTGGGTCAGCTGACCTGTCGCTTTGTGTGCCTCTGCTAGGCTCCTAGGAGTCACTCAGGATGTTCCGGATGCCTCCCTTCCTCTTGTTTGCCTGGGGGGAGGGGGCGGTCAGCTGACACGTGGCTTTGGTAGCTCTTTCTGAGGCCTTGGATGGAGGCTCGAGTAAGGGGTTGGGGTGGCAACCCTGGTCTGGACCCCCCGAGAGGCTGCCTGCAGGGCTGGCATAGAACCTTTTCAATGTCACCTGCCCTGGTGGCTCAAGTCCTGGGGGAGCTGATAATTAGACAGCTGTGTGCTTCCTTAAATAGCAAGCCTGACACACAGACGCCTTGGACTTCTCGTCAAAGCTGCATTGACTCTGTACCGCCTCCCCCGGAGTCCCAGGCTCCTGGCTGGGGTCGTGCGGCCGTGGGCCTCCTACCCTAGTGGACACGATGCTCGGAGAGCCGGACACAGGTGGGAGCAGCTTCCCTGGGTCCACTGGGGAAATGCCAAAGGGGAGGTTGGAAATCTTGAAAATTTTATAAGCCACAGCCTGACAGATGGGGAAAAGGACAGGATGAAAAAAAAAGAGAGTAGTTCCTTCCAAGAAACGAACTGAAGGCCTGCTTTTTCCTTCCTGCCCGACTGAGATTGAAATCAGCTAGTCAGCAGTTATTTCAGAAATCACTTAATCTGTTCTTTAAAAAAGAACAAAACATGTTTCTGCTTTTTTTTTCCCTGTCTACTTTTTAAGTCCTGGGGTCCAGGAGAGGATGTTCCCAGGCCCTCCACACGCACAACTCCTGGGAGCACAGCTCACACCAGCATCGTTGGGAACGGTGCTTCTCAGGGCTGTGCAGTGTGCAACTTGTGGGAGTGCACAAGCCGGCGCTGGACTCCAGACGTCACGTGGGGCTCCTTAGGGTCCTGGGAGGGCATCTCATGTGTGCCCTCACTGAGGCCACCGAGGGTTTCTTGGTCGGGAGTGGAGGAGGGTAGCCACTGCTGACGAGCAGGCTCCCTGGTCCCAGGCCAGGATTCTTCCCCCCGGCGCCCCCGGCCCCAGGGCTGCTCTTCCTCTTCCTGAGGTTCCTCCCCGTGCCCCGGGCCTGAGATGCGGCTCTCTGACCTGCTGGGGAAGGAGAGTTGGAAACTGACAGCAGCAGGAGACAGAGCCCATGCGAAGCTGACCTTGACCACATCCCCATGTTGTTGAGAAAAAAACAGCCTGGAGGGGACGTGCTCTCTGGACGTGGCGGGCGGCGCAGACGTCTGTGTGTGGCTTTGCGTGAACGTCCCTGTGACTGAGCCTGCCCCGCGGCCTGCGGGCCTGGCTCGCTTGGCTTCCTGAGTGCGGGCGGACCAAGACAGCGGAAGGTCTGGAATCGCTCCCTGGGTGACTCCCGGATCCTCCAGGAGGCCTGTTTCTTCCAGAGAAGGGAGCTTCCGCTCACCCTCCTCTTCTGAAGGCGCTGCGTGCAGCTCTAGACAAAGACGCCAACCTCAGAAAGGTCCAGGCAGCTTGAGGAATTGGTGGTTTGGGCTGCGTGACCCCCACCCCAGGCATAGCAGAAGGATCCGGGGCTCCCCACGTTCCTTGCCTGAAGGCATCCGTGTGTCCCTTCTGTTCCCTCAGACTTGGGGTGACGGCAGGCAGCCCCACTGGGAGCAGGGCTTGAGCCAGCACCCTAGGATGCTGAGCCACGTTGCTGCCGGCTTCTGTCATCAGGCCACGCACAGTGCCACGGGCGGGGCCGCGGGGCCAGGTCTCCGCTTAGAGCGGGGTCAGGGGACGGCAGGAGCCGCGGTGGCGGGAGGCAGAGCTGCGCGGGCTGCGCGTGGGGGGTCTCCCTGCTGCGCCCACGTGGGCTTTAGGTCGCAGGGCCCCTCCGGCTTCACCTGGTTTGGCCGGGAAGCAGCCCTTAGAGGGCGGTGATGGCTTTTCACCCTCTGGGAGGGAGAGGAGGCCTGGCGTCCTAGGAAGGAGAAGTTGGCGCCTCTGACGTCTGCGTGGTGGGACCAGAGCAAGGAAGACAACGACCAGGCTTGGACGTGGGGAGGCGTGAGCTGTCGGGACCAGCAGCTGCAGGGGGAAGGGAAGCAGAGTCAGTCTCGCCTCCTGGCCCCGGTGTGGAGCCGCCCGGGGCGTGGATCTGAGGCCAGCATGCCCACGAACTGTCTGGCCGGCTCTCCTGGGCTGGTGGGTACGTGCCACCCTGTCCCCTGCAGCCATGAGAAGCCACCCTCCTGGGCCCCTAGCGCCCAGGGCCGCAGGAAGAACCAGAAAGCACCTGGAAGTGAAGAGCCTGTGAAACCACCTTCCTGGGAGAGAGGACCCTGCTCCTGGCTCTGGTATAGGGGTGTCAGCAAGGGTGGATGGCCTCGGGTGGGGACAGGGGCTGGGACAGCTGGACGCGAGGCAGAGGACCTGGCTGGCTGGATGTCTCCCAGTCAGTCCAGGTCACTCTGCTGGGATGGGACCCAGCCCGGCCAGCAGGCCTGTTCAGTGCTGGTCAGTGTCCTGCAGGAAGCGTCTGTCTGAACATCTGTGCTTTGCTGTGAGCAGAGGGCCTGGGCGGAGCAGTGGCTGCAGGGTCAGTGGGGCCTTGGGGTCCCTCCAGGAGGGGCCATCAGCACTGCTGGGCCCCTATTCTCTCTGTGCTGCTGACTGGGGACCCCGTTCTCTGCTGTCCTCCTCCATGCCTTCTCTAAGGCCACTGCCCTCTGCCTGCCCAGGGCTCTTCTGGCCACTCAGGCCTCAAACCTTCCCAGTGGGCAGCAATGGGTGAGCAGTTTCGGGGTGTCTGGGGTGGGCATGAGGGGCAAGACTGCTGGTCTGTGGGATTTGGGGACCCCTTAGTCATCAGCATCTGCGGAGGCCAGTGCACCCGGAGGTGATCACAGAGCCTGGGGGTTGTCCCCGGGACACATCTTCTGGGGAAGAGGGGGGCGGGGGCCGTCAGTGCTGGACATTGATTCCCTGGGAGCTTGGCAGCTTCAGGGAAGGACCGGGAAGCCAGGTGAGGCTCCATCTGCGCCCTGGTGCTCATTCCGTGGAGAGTGGGCACAGGACTGTGCTGAGCCCCGCTTGGTCCAAAGTGCCTTGCCCCTCACGCCCCACAGCCCCCCAGCCCCCCAGCACTGCCTCGGCTGCCGGGCCCCCTCTGGGCCGCCACGGTCCTGACAGCCCAAATCCCACTGTGATGTGGTGCTGCTGGGTGTCTGCACTGTGAGGCTGGCAGCCCAGGTTTAGGCCTCTGTGCACACAGTAGGTGCTTCACCAGTGTCTGAGGCTCTGAATTGAATACATTGGAGGTAAATGGAGGAGCAGTGTGGAGGTGGGCGCAGGATCCCCTCAGCCTGGCCTTCACCTTTGTGGAGTCCTGGGCGCCTCGGGGGTGAGCAGAGCCTCCCTGTGTCACCCTCCCCTCTTACCTGCATTTCTTTCCCACCCCTGGTTCATGCCTGATTCCAGGGTTCAGGGGGAGGGGCCGGTGGGTTACCTAGGAGACGTCACCAAGGCAGCCACTGGGTGACTCCTTGGAGGCAGGAAGTGGAGTGGGGGGGCTCTCCTCCACTGCAGGTTGTGTACCTGTGGGGTGGGGAGCTGGGGCAGGAAGTGGCAGAGGTGGCCGGGTGGCAGGGCCCGTGTGCTGGCAGCTGCTGAGAGCCCTGCTTTTTGCAGGGAACCCTCTGTACCGTCGCCTTAAGTCACAGCTTTCGTAGATCATCTAAAATGCTTTCAGGCAGCTCCTTACAGGTGAATGCTGCTCTGAGTCCTCTTGCAGGGGAACAGATCGCCACGATACATCGTCTTCCTGTCTGATCAGCTTGGGGTTTGAGTGTTCACGAAGGTCCTACCAGTAAATCCTTAAAGTTTAAGACTGAAGACGAGACGCAGAGCTACCAAGCTCAGGATGTTTTTAGTGCATTTTAGGTCACTGTGACACCTTTGGGGTTCAAGGCATAGGGAAGGATTCTCCCGGCCCTTTGGTCTTGGTTGAGGTCATCTGAGCAAGTTTGGACCGCATGCCAACTTCTCTCAGGTCCCTCATTCCCTCCTCTGGCTTTGTTTTAATTGTTTTTTTTTTTAATATCTCAAGCATTGAAACCGTTGTTTGAATGGTTTTGTGACCCTCAAAACCTGTGAAGTCGGACCCTTCTGGACTGGTTTCTTCTGTGTCCACCAGCTAATTCAGGATGCTTGGGGAGAGGGTGGAACAGCTGAGGTCCCCAGTGCCCGCTGTCCTGCTGCGCGTGCCCGGTTCGTGGGTCGCCCAGGTCCCCATGTCTGTGAAGGTCCCGCTGGCGCCACTGCCAGCCCATTGGCTCCTGTCCGAGGGTGGGAGCAGGAGGGGCCCTAAGGTGGTGTCTTAGGGCAGGTGGACATCGACTGAATCAGAGAATGTTCCATGATTGTCTCTTGATTTTTGTTTTTCCTTGTTCTCTTGCCTGGTCAAACTGCCTCCGCCAGTTTGGCTATTTAATCTTCCCTGACATGACTTTTCCAGAATAGATTAATAGGGAAAAGTGATCCTGTTCTCTTTGGATGTAATGTTAATCTTCATCTGCCCCTTAAGGCCCTCAAATAAATTTTTTTAAAAGACAAGTCCCACCCCTACAAGGGACTGTTCTGGGTTTGGCCGGGCTGACCTCTGCTGTCGTTTGAAGGTCATGGAGGCGGAGCAGACCAAGACGAGGAGCGAGCTGGTGCACAAGGAGACGGCAGCCAGGTACAACGCGGCCATGGGGCGCATGCGGCACCTGGAGAAGAAACTCAAGCGAGCCATCAACAAGTCCAAGTGAGTGGGGCCTGGGCTGTGTGCTGGGTGCGGCCGGGGCTGGGCTCTGGGACCCTCAGGCTGTGCCCTCGGCTGTGCGGCTGAGAGCGGGGGCGAGGCCCGCCCCTCAGCTTACCCGTCAGCGTCCCAGGGCTCGCTGAGTCCCTGACACCCACTCTTTGTGGACCAGGAGCTGATGAAACAGCGCCAGACTGGTTTCAGTGGAGGTTTTCTCCAAGCTCCGATATATTGCTCTGCAGTAATGATCTCAGGGACAAGCCCCTGCTTCACTCACAATTGCTGGGCCTCCCAGCAAAGAGACAGGACCCAGGGTGGCCCAGGCTCCCCCAGCCCCAGACAGACCCCGAGCTTCACGGAGGGTGAAGGGCTCAAGAGGAAGCGTTGTATCCTCTTAATGCTCAGACCTACGCCCCTCCCAGTTCCTGGAAAGAGCCAGCGTCTCCCGGGCGACCCGGAGCCCAGGGGACCAGTGGAGCACTGACCTTTCTGGTCCTGTCTGGCCTGCTCTGCAGGCTGTCCAATCCCTCTGGTCCTGGACAGAGTCCCCGAGGCCAGCTTGAGCCCCTGTCCGGCCAAGGGGTGGTGTCTCCCTCCCGGGGTGAGCCTAGCCGAGCAGCGTGTGTATCGAGGCAGCTTCTCCTCGGCCTTACATGCTGTTCAGCCCTGGGGAGCTGGCCTGCCCGGAGAGGAGGGCGAGCCAGGCTGCATGGCCCTGGGACTCGCGTGCCCGTGTGCGGGTTTCCCATATTGAGGTGGGCCTTCTGTCAGCTCGGCCGTGGCGGACCACCTGCGTCCGGTGGGCCTGGGAGTTGGACACCACCACCCTCATCTGCTGGCCTCCACGTGAAGCCGAGCAGATGCTGGAGGGTGACCTGGCCGGCCGCAGCCGCCACCCTGGGACGCCCCGTGCAGTGTAGGGGGCCGCTGTGTCAGCGCTCTAACGGGTTCCCTTCCTGTCTCCCACAGGCCATATTTTGAACTCAAGGCAAAGTACTACATGCAGCTGGAGGTACGTGCAGCCTTTGGCTCTGTAGCCGATGGGGCTTTTCTGCACTCCAGACCCCCTTTCTGCAGTGGGCTTTCAACTGGCCCCGCTGCTGTCGGGGAGAGTGAAGAGAGACACGCTCTCTGCTGAGTCTCTGGGCCTCAGGATGGCCTTGGTCTCTGACTCCCTCTGAATCTGCATGCACGCCCTTTCCACACTGTGCTCGGTCAGTGGTTCTCAACGTGCCCCAGGGACCAGAGCATCCGCATGGCCGGGGAGCCTGTTGGCAGTGCAGATTCCCAGGCTGGCTCCAGACCTGCTGAGTTAGAGGCTGTGCAGGTGGGGCCCGGCCAGTGGGGTTCACAGCCCCCAGGGGATTGGATGCAGTTCAAGAGTGAGCCCCGCAGCGCCAGGGTCAGGTGATTGGAGGGCGGACTCCGTGGGCCCCCGGCACCCACTGCCGCCTCCCTGCTGGCCTTACTCCGCCAGTGGCGGTTCCCGGGTATCAGAGCTTGCGTTGGTCACTGGGCTGGGAGTCAAGGGCAGTGGCTGCTCCCCTGTCCGGTGCGTGGAGGGCTGTGGAAGAGGAGTCGGTCCCCGGTCCTGTCTTGGGAAGGTCCGCAGAGTGGAGTGGTGGGCACGGAGTGTTTGAACCTGTCAGTCAAAAGCATGGCCAGGCCCGCCCCCCTGACCAAGCCTCCTGTTCTCCTGAGCAGCAGCTGAAGAAGATGGTGGACGACCTGCAGGCCAAGCTGGCCCTGGCGAAGGGCGAGTACAAGGCGGCCCTGCGGAACCTGGAGACCATCTCGGACGAGATTCACGCGCGCCGGCGCTCCGGCACCATGGGGCCCCGGGGCCGCGGTGTCGGGGCTGAGGGCAGCGGCGCGTCCGCTGAGGACCTGTCGGGAGGCAAAGGCGAGTCGGACGCTGTTTCTGGTGAGTTGGGCTTGTGTGACCTGCTTCCAGGGCGGAGTCACAGAAGGGCCTGGGGGCTGTTCGGGGGCCTCCCCCATTTGGTGCGACACTGTGCTCAAGATGTTATTGTGTGTCCCCAGAGTCAGGATTCTGTGGTCCAGCAAGTTTGGAGCATGTAACACCTCCGCCCCTAAGATTCCAGATACGAATTAGCTATTCAAGGCTCTGAGAAGTCCTGCAGGGAAGAAGCATTGTCTAGAATAGGGACTTTGGTTTAGACTGGATTAGTGTCCTGGCCTCCCCATCATGACCAGGACAGGACAGTAAGGTTGGGTCTCCATTTCTTCACAGGTAAAGCGGGGCCCATGGTGGTCCCTAGTCTGGTGCATCGAGTGGTGTCCAGGATCCAGTGCAGGGATGTGGGCGCTCAGGGGACACTCCCCACGTGGTGCCCGACCCCAGGGATCTTTCTTTCCAGGGCCACCCATTGGGGAATGGATAGTAGGGGCTGCCGTGCGCCCTTTATGTCCATCAGCCCTGTCTCTGCACACTTCCTTCGCCTCCTCTGTGGAATGCTGGCTGCTGGCTCTGCCCTGAGCTCCCCCCTCAGGTGTTTTTTTCATTCAGCCAACAAACGTTTGTGTTAGGCCTAGGGAAACAAGGAGACTGTAATTTGAGCATCCCTGATGGGAGAACTTTAGTCTGCATCATCTCCTGAGCCCCATGTGGAGAGAAATGTGAAGCTCAGAGGTCAAGTAACTTGACCAAGGCCACACAGTGAGTCGTGGAGGTGGGACATGATCTAAGCTTGCTTTCTCTGCCCAGCATTACTTCTCATCAATGGGCATTCTCGCTGGGGCGCTGCAGGCTGTTTCCACAGATGAGGGAGGAAGAAAGGGGAATAGGATTGTGTGCGGGCTGAGGCGGCTTTCTGACCCTGAGAATGACATGTCTAGGCCTTGGTTCTTCTGGTCCACAAAAAAAGCGGGGCAGACTCCAGAGCTCTGTGAACGAACTTCATTCCCTCATGGCAAATAGTGATGTCGGTGGGCTGAGTGTGTCTTGTATGAGATCATGAGTCACCTGGGAGGTGACAAAGGCCCCAGCAGACACGTCACACAGGGCTGTCCGGGCCTGCGGGTCTGCCTGTGGAAGGAGCCGGCCCCAGGTCTGGCCTCCTTTGTTTGTGATGCATGGCACAGGCCAGCCCTCTTCCCGGGCACGTGGGGGCCTGTTTTGGGGACTGGGGTGGAGAGAAGCCCTGATCTGTGGCTGAATTCACCTTCCACCACCAGGCAGTGTCTGGTGACAGTGACTTCTGGGGGGGTGCTGTGGAGTGATGGTAAGGACATGAGCATCCCTGGGACCCAGTGGGGGGCCAGGTGCCTCCTGCTGGGCGTCCACGGTGGCAGGATCCTGCAGTGGCTGGGTCCTGTGGGGCCCCCACCAGAGGTGCTGGGGGCCGTGGGTCAGGGCCCGGCTGACAGCTGTTCTCTCATCACAGTGGCCTCCGAGGCGTTCGAGGATGACAACTGCAGCACCTTTGTGTCTGAAGACGACTCAGAGACCCAGTCCCTGTCCAGCTTCAGCTCGGGCCCCACCAGCCCGTTGGAGATGCCCGAGCGCTTCCCCGTGGCCATCAGGCCCGGCAGCCTGGACCTGCCCAGCCCCGTGTCCCTGTCGGAGTTCGGGGCACTGTTCCCTGTGCTGGGCCCTCGCAGCGAATGCAGCGGGGCCTCCTCCCCCGAGTGCGAGGTGGAGCGAGGTGAGCAGTGGTGCTGTCCCATCCCATCTCAGGGGCCATGCCCAGGGCCCCCGCAGCCAGCTCCCTGCGCCCCCTGGACCTCGGATGGGTCCCTGCGCACGTGCCATCGGTGTGGGGCACATGTGGCTCCCACCTCCACTCCTGACCAGTCTCCTTAAAGGGCAGCCCGGGTTCTGTCTCCCGTGAGACAGGGAGGGCTGTTTCCTGCTGCCAGCCGGGTGTGACACCTCTCTCTGAAGATGAGGGATGGAGACAGCCCTTGAGGAACAGAGGCAGCAGGCAGCCCCGTGACAGGACCTTCTGGGCCAGGCCGGGCGGGGCGGCACCGGGAGAGCCCGGAGGGTGAGCCGGCTGACGGGTCGGGAACTCACTGGTGGTCTTTACGTTTCCCAGGAGACAGGGCGGAAGGGGCAGAGAACAAAACGAGTGACAAAGCCAACCACCAGCACCGGGGCCTCAGCAGCAGCAGTG